CTCTCTTCGCCATCTGAGTCCAATTCGTAGTAGTTCCAAAGAAAAAAAAGAAAGCAGAAAATAATGAAACCAGAAACAGAGAGAAGAAAGAAGGAAAAAGGAAGAAAAGAAAAGAAGAAAAAATTATGGGTCTGTGTAATTATGATACTGCTCCTATTTGCGTAGCTTCCTTACTTGCTGATGATGTTTTGGGGGTGTTTAGAAGCCGCTTGATATGTGTTGAGTCGGCTTAGATCGTTTTCATCCGAACACACCATCCATTGAGCGCAGACAATGAAGACGGCGGTGCTAGAAAAAATGGAGCCATCTTGCTGTTGTTGCCAAATTGCTCATCTTGGATTACAAGTTTTGATGCGCTGCTTGGTGGAGACCCACAAAAAAATGGTGGCGATGAAGCTAGTTGGTTACTGGATCTCTCTTCACAATTGAGAAGAAAAAAAAGAAAACCATAACAGAAAGAAAAGATGGATAGGAGGAGAATAAATAAAATAGAGAAAAGTAAACAAAAGAGAGAAAAACAAGGAAAATAAGAATAAAATACTAGGAAAAAAAAGGAGATACAAAATGAGAGCTGATAGGGGTGGGGCTATTTTTCAATTCATACGGGTTGGCTTGTATAATTAATTAATTATTTTTAATTTTTAATTATATTTAAATATTTAAATAATTATTTTTTAGTCCGACACAACACCAAATATACGTCTTTTTTTTTTTATAATCCAGCTTCATAGTCCGACGTAGCACTAAACGAAGGTCAGTACTTAATCCAGCTTAATCCAATTCGAGTGAATCCGAGACAGTCCTAGAATTTAGTCATGTCCATAATAATCTGCCGTACCAAACAACCCCACATGGTACTATTTTAAGATATCCGATATAACTTTTATTTATATATATAGTTTTTGAAAGAATGATTAAAATACGTACGAAAGTATATATGATGATTATTTTGGTCCTTTGAAAACTAGAAAATTGATAGTGTTCCTTTCTTCGTAGGTGTATTGTAAAGGGTTTCTTTTCGGAAGCTAGCTTATTACAAAGCAGAACTACACATATGATCATGATGTATATGTATATATGGCAGAAGAAATAGTAGTAGTTGCGTAAAACCTAGCTAGGTCATGGAGAGCAGTCAGTTCAGAACAATATCTGATTGCAGCCTTTGCAAAAACGATTGTTGTTGATTCATATTTAAAGTGACGATTTGCAGGTGAGCTACCACCCGCCTAGCATGAGGCTAATGCTGGGCTCAAAATTAATAAAGGACCCACATGTACGAATCGACAACTACTCTTAAATTTGCGTGGATGATTTCGTAATCTAGTTGAGGTGTAATTTTGGAAGACCAAACCTCAGCAAGCTTGGTAGATATTTAGGAAGGAATTAGCTTGTGTTTGAGTTTTTTTTTTCGTTGGGGTGCTTTTAGCATTGAAAGATGACAAAAAATAAGAAGCTTATTATCACAAAACGTCTCTAAGGTTTACGAAACTATCAGATTGCATCCTTCATGTTTTTTTTGTGTCATTCATGGTTCTCAATGTTAGTATGTGCAATCACAAATAGTCCGTTAGGTTCTGTTAAAAACTTTGTTAGTTTACTGACGTGACATACATATATATCACAAAACATCCTTGAAGTTCACACACCTATCACAAATGGTTCATCGTAGGGGTGGCATTTTAAACCGAAAAACTGAAAAACCGCAAAAACCAACCGACAATTTACCGCAATGAAACCGCAATCGCGGTAAACCGAACCGCATTTGCGGTATTAAGAACCGAACCGCATTTGCGGTTGCGGTTGCGGTATTTGATTTTCAAAACTTGCGGTTACCGCAAACCGCAAAGTATAGCCACACGGATGATGAAGTTGAATTTTACAAGGAAATGAAACATATGACAACTTGTAAGTAATTAGTTTATTTATACTAATGTTATTTATGCTTCTTCTTATAATAAAATGTACTAAACTATATCGTTTTATTTGTAGATAACATTGGTGCTCAAACAACACAACGGGGTTCTTCAAATCCACTCACCACCAACACTTGAGTTTATAACTTTAGTTTGTAACATTGGTGCATTGCATTTTCCTTTTA